ACAAGAGTATCCCACAAGAGTTTCCTACAAGAGTGTCCCACAAGAGTGTCCCACAAGAGTTTCCTACAAGAGTGTCCCACAAGAGTGTCCCACAAGAGTGTCCCGTATGAGTGTCCCACAAGAGTGTCCCACAAGAGTGTCCCGCATGTCCCACAAGAGTGTCCTACAAGAGTGTCCCACAAGAGTGTCCCGTATGAGTGTCCCACAAGAGTGTCCCACAAGAGTGTCCCACAAGTGTGTCCCACAAGAGTGTCCGACAAGAGTGTCCCATAAGAGTGACCCACACGAGTGTCCTACAAGAGTGTGCAACAAGAGTGTCCCGTAAGAGTGTCCCACAAGAGTGTCCTACAAGACTGTCCTACAAGAGTGTCCTACAAGAGAGTGTCCCAAATGAGCGTCCCACAGGAGTGTCCCACAAGAGTGTCCCGCAGCAGTGTCCCGCAAGAGTGTCTCACAAGAGTGTCCCACAAGAGTATCCCACAAGAGTGTCCTACAGGAGTGTCCCACAAGAGTGTCCCACAAGAGTTTCCTACAGGAGTGTCCCACAAGAGTGTCCCACAAGAGTGCCCTACAAGAGTGTCCCACAAGAGTGTCCTACAAGAGTGTCCCACAAGAGTGTCCCACAAGAGTGTCCCACAAGAGTGTCCTGCAAGAGTGTCCCACAAGAGTGTCCCACAAGAGTGTCCCAAATGAGTGTCCCACAGGAGTGTCCCACAAGAGTGTCCCGCAACAGTGTCCGGCAAGAGTGTCTCACAAGAGTGTTTGTTAAGAGTGTCCCACAAGAGTGTCCCGCAACAGTGTCCCACAAGAGTGTCCTGCAAGAGTGTCCCACAAGAGCTCCCTACAACAGTGTCCCACAAGAGTGCCCCACAAGATTGTCCCACAAGAGTGTCCTACAGGAGTATCCCACAAGAGTGTCCTACAAGAGTGTCCCACAAGAGTTTCCTACTAGAGTGTCCCACAAGAGTGTCCCACAAGAGTGTCCCACAAGAGTGTCCTGTAAGAGTGTCCCACAAGAGTTTCCTACAAGAGTGACCCACAAGAGTGTCCCACAAGAGTGTCCTACAAGAGTGTCATTTGGACATATGTAGCTTTTTGAACGTGTTTGCATTCGGGTTCGTGGGCTCCATCTTGTTTTTTCAACAAGGTCTCAAAACCAAAAAACGAGAAAGCCGGAAAACACTCTATCTTGTCTCCTATGTGCCCGCGCAGCCTGGATCGGGCTTTTCGGATGTCGAAGACGCTTCGCCAAAAAAAAGGGCACAGGCATGTAACAACTCCTAGAGAATCACCTCCCCCCCCTAACCTCCGTGAGAATGCAGCCTGTGGTCTGTTCCCGACTCCAGGACTCACCTTAGACCTCACGTTCCCGACATCAGAAGATATAAGCGGATCTGAATCAACCGACCCACCCCTCCCGTGAGCCATGAATCCTTCTTCATTCGCTTTGGAAACCTGACCAGCCCACGAACAGCTGCAACTGACCGGCTGTGGAGGAAAAGGAAGACCCTGCAAACGTGACTTTTGATCCGTTGTTCAGTGAATCCGTCGGCGATTTGGTACCTCGGGTTGTCCCGGACAGAAAACGCGAGAAGTCTGCATTGTCCTGGATTGACCGTTGGGCAAACTGTATTCAACACATGACTCGCTGTTTGCTTGAAGAAAACACGTGTTTGATCTCACGAAAATGATGTTCACACCTCCATCACACGTTTTGGCCGGCGATTTCCGTCTATCACATCCCCCGCACCCGTCCCGCACCCCACCTGCGGGGCTCCGGGGTCACCAGATACCTTCGGACCTCGGAGGTAAGCGTCTCACATCAACTCGAGAAGATCAGAGACATGTCAGATGACCATGTCTAGTTGTTTTTAATGAGTGGCTTAGATTCATATGATTCATATTCATATTAGGGTTGGTTTGTAGGGACTGCAATTTGTCCTTGAAATCAACTTTCGAGGCCATGTTCCACTCCAAGAGCTCAATTCGAAAGCTGGTTTGTTCTGATCCAACCAGAATCACTCCCCAGCTCCAGCCCCAAGAAGCACATTACTTAGTCCAAAAGGCCGTTTCTCATCTCTTACACCATGTGGGCTCCACACAAATGCGCTCTGCGGAAGTTCTTCAAGGCCAACCCTTTTGATGGCTAGTGGCGGATTTTTGCACAATCCCAAAGAGTCAGGAAAAGAAGGGGAGCATGTTGAGGCTGAGGTTTTTGAGGGATTTGTTGTGTTGTTTGCGATATTTTCGGGTAGCTGACGTACAGACGCTGCAGAGCCCGGAACGCAGCAATAGAAAGCGCCAACCAAGGGAACGCATTGTAAGCTGCACGCCTCCTGGTTCTATATTTCATTTCGCAGCACAGCAGCAGGGGTCAACTTCAACCTGGCCACTTGCAGCAGCACGGTCACCTTCCCTGCCTGCTTCCCTGCTTCCGTCCTTCCGTCCGTCCGTCCTTCCTTCCTTGCTTCCTTGCTTCCTTCCTTCCTCTTATATCGCATTAAAAAATATAAAATAAAATTATCCCAAATACGTTGACTTGACTAGGCACTTGGCGTTTGACACAAGGATCCCTGACACTGCCTACCTACCTACCTACCTACCTACCTGCCTGCCTGCCCGCCTGAGAAAGCACTCACCCGAGGAATGCAGCTCGTCTCGCCCCACGTCGCCAAGAGCATCCCAAATTCAACATAGAATACTTCCCTTGCAGGGTTCCGTTCCAGATCTCGCGGTTCCAATGCTCGTTCCTTCTGGGTCCCGACTTCTGGCTCCGTTATTCGGCACATGCGCAACGCCGCACGTCGCCCCACGTCGCCACACGGGGTTCTCTCTGGGTCCCCCGGGCTTGGGGCGACCGAGCCAACGACTCCTGCCGTGGCCGAAAGTCTGTCCAAACTGTCGGCCGTGGGACCGCACCAGTCTTGTCAAGTCTTGCCAAGAGTCTGTTCAGCATATGAAGAGGTTGTTCCAATGGCAAAGAAGAGTCCTTTCACCCGAAAAGGCTGCTCAGTCCGACATCTTGTTCGACGTGGCTGATGGGGTCTGCACCTAATCTCCGTTCCCAAGCAGGTGGACCAGCTGAACAGAGCAGGTGCTACGGTGCGTTAGGCCAGACCCTTACCAAATGAATAAGAACAGCAATGTACCCTTTAAAGGATATGTACACCACACTCGAAGGTGGGCCACTGTAAAACCCAGACCCTGCCAAAAGGTTCCAATATCAATGGTTAAGATCCTCTTTGAGAATCGAGCCAAAAGAATCTACATCAAGCAGCTCGTCCCGCAGCTCGGTTCTTGACTCTCATCGTATGCATCTTTAAAATACATATACATCATATATAATATACATACCACCTTTCGCCAAAGTATCGTTGCAGTGGACCATGTTGCTTGAATCTGCCTGTTGGAACCGCGCAAAATGGGCGAAACCTCAGGCTCTGTCTGCCAAACCCATGTCAACAATGCCTGGCATCACAATCTTGAGAGTATCCCACAAACCCTCCTCTTGCCCCATGTCCATTCAGTCCAGCTGCTGAAAAATAGACCCGAAGCTTTGCCGTTTTGAGATCTCTGAGATCGCACGTCCACCCTTCCGGTCCGCTAACTGCCAGCTCCTCAGTCAGTCCACCAGTCCTGGGTCGAGCCAGCAAAGCTCTTCCGTACCTCGACCGGTCCCCGCTGAAAGAAGCAAAGCGGAGCACAGCAGTTGATGGAGAACGAACCAAATGCCTTCCTGGTTCTTCGGTTTATGCAAGTCTGTCCTCCAACACCAATACTGAGAAATGATGGTTCTAGTCATTTTTCCTTGTGCTAAAATGCTCTTCTTGCATCTTGTTGCCGCTAGGCAGCAGGCAGCAGTTGCAAGACCCTTTCCAACGGCTCAACTTCTCGTGACTCTCACCAAGCTAGGCACAAGGAGCCCAGCCAGTCACCGCCCTCCCTCTTCACCCAGACACTGAGACCCCCCACTGAGGAACGAGCCCTGCCCAGCCGGAACGACCCACGGACTCCGTCAGCCGAGCCGCCGTGGTGTTCTTGATGGAAGGAGTGACATGCAAGTGACATGCAAGTCCAGTCATATTGTTGATGATATATGATTATGATATATATATATAATTATATTTATATATACATATATATATTATATTGATGAACAAACTCCACTACATGTGTCCATTTCACAAGTGGGGGGGGGCAGTCTTTGCCAAAGACAATGAAAAGTCTGGCAATCTGAGTGGATCGTCTCTATAACTTTGGCTCAAAATGGGGTGCCGTCAGACCCCCTGCTAAATGGAAAGACCGACTGAAGTCTGCATGTTCTTTCTAGTACATAGTACAGTACATAGCCGTATTCATCCATATTCCTAGACCGGCCACTGAACCGATTTGATGGGTCAGAAACCACCGGCTCTCTCCCAGTTTCCGCCTGGGCAGCACTACTCCCACCGCCTCAGGCTCAGCAGGTCAAACAGCGGGATGCCCCACAGAGGCTCTTGGTGTGTGTTTGGAATGAGTGAGTCAGTGGTTTTGGCCGGTGAAAAAAAATGGGTGGGATTTGGTGTCATGTTGCTCTTCCGGGAAGGTGCAGAATAAATTCGGAATAAGAACTGAAATGAGGTTTAAAGCAACCGCAAATATCCAGGTCAAGGGTGCATTCTGAGCATCCAATGACTTTGATCCTGGTGAATACATGTCTTTTGGAGATGCCAAAGAGCAATAAATGAAACAAACAAACCCAAGCGAACTGCACTTACTCCCATGAAACCACAAAGCGCAACCACAAAAGCCCAAGAGTGGTTTGTGGTTTTGGTCAAAAATGACATCGGAACCTCATCCACCGAAGAGTCGCTGGTCGCCCACGAGGAGCGTGGAATGATGTTTGCTCCCTACTGACCTACCAACTTCAGGTCTGTCCCAAAACGAAAGCGGGGTGATGCTGCATGTGTTTTTAAAAAATATCCTTGAGACTTTTCCCCAAGACAAGTTCTTGCAAAAGTTTGAGCCAACACCACATCTCCCAGGCACGGCACCCAAGGCACCCAGCGCCTGCCTCCACCTGGGCACCCCAGCGGCAGCGAGCCAGCTGGCGGGACGCCACCCGGCACGCGGCTCCGGGCCAAGAGGCCTGGCTCACATCTTTGAGTCAAGCAAGCATACATCCAGTTGGTTGTTCTATCACGGTTGTACTTGAATCTGCATGTGCACAGACCTGTGCACAGACCGAATAAGGCATTTTGGTCCCGGCTGCTGGTCAAAGTGGTCGATCGGCAAATTCAGCACCCAAAAGAACGAATTCTTCGGGTCTATTCTGCCTTTAGGGTTTAATGGCAGTGCATAATTATTACAAAGATGTGAGTAAAAATACCCTAAGACAGATTATCCCGATCAAAAGGGAAGCCCTGGCCAACCCGACACCGCAGAATTTTAGCGAGGGAAATGTCCGCAAAAGCTCCTGCTGTCTGTCTCTTAGCCTTGCTTACAAAGGAAATAATAAGGTTAAAAGAAATGATAAACAACAATAAATTTACTATACCCTTATTAATGATTGGTGGTGGGACGGCTTTCTCTGTGTAGCACATTGACTGTCAGGAAGAAATCGTCCCTTGAACTTATTACGTTATTGGATGTTCTATTTGGTATGTTCCCTGTGTCCCTTATTAATTGTGTCTAATGCTTGTATAGGTCGGAAAATCCAATAATAAATGAACTGGGCCCACCACTCGATCTTTCTGCCACATCTGTGGGCCGATTATCGTCATCTCTGTCTTTCATTATCTTCACCATTTGTTTTGTATTTGGTAGCGTCCATGCGACCAGGATTGATAATCCATCTTTGCGTTTGCATTCTGTATCTTGTTGTCTCGAATCCTGGCCTTGTGGTCAATCTATTTACCTTTACTTACTATAATATTAGTCACAAAGGCCATAAAGTAAGACAAAAAGAATACTAATGGAAAAATGTGCATTCTCTCAGATTGTTCCATATCATCTCTTAATTTTGATGCACCTTATGGATTTTTCATTATATGAGAGATGTCTTCTACCGGAAAATACTCAATCATAAGCTGTGTCTAAGGTGGGTCAAGCGTTTAATATCAATAATATACAGTAATCTTTGCCCCTCTGTATCCTAAGGCCTCTGTGGACGTCTGTAAGGTTGGAACACAAGACCCTAAGAACTTGGATAAAGAACTCAAGCCCTTTGAGAAGAGCCTGGTCACATGACCTCGAAAGGTCGCATCGAGTCGTTTGTCCGGTCGACTCCGGTGCTGGAGTTGTTTGCTTCACCGCGTCAGGTCATCTGCATTTATGGCACGACCGGGGCTGGGAAGAGGCTGCGCACGGACCACGAATTGAGTAATCCTAAGGCTTCCTGAAGAAGTCCCGATCGTCGACCGCAAACTCATTTGGAGGGGGGTACGAAGCTCTGTGCATCAGGAGGGAGGTGTCAAAAGCAGTGAGCCAAAGCCTTTTGCGGTCCAAGACATGCAAAGAGTTTGCTGGAGAAACACTCACCGATCCCTTTCTGGAGTGATCCTGAATCACTTTCTGGCATGCATATGCTGCATATGGCTCTGGGTCACCCTGTCTTCCAATTGTACACCCAACCAACAGTCACAATAATTTTGGCCATAGGTTCAGGAACCAACGTTATGGATTGGTCTCCACCGTCTCCAACCCCACACCTCGCGGTTGGACGGTGACTGCTTGGGAGGGCCTGAGGGAGCAGAAGAGGTGTCGGAAGTTGAGGAGGAGACCCTCAACGAAAGAAACAAACCCAGTTGGCAAAGAGGAAACGGTGGAGCCCTTGAAAGGCCATGTCTCACTTACATGATTGTCTGAGGAAAGGCAATCGAGACTCTGCATGAAAATGCCAAGAGAGTGGCTGTCTTTACCATATACTTCTGTGAAGGACAGGCTCCAAGGCAGAAGTTCAACGTTTGCAATGGCAACCCACCTGTTCTCTTTCTACGATTGATGGAACCAAGTCAACCTCGAAACGATTCAACGACTCGGCCGGTGGAGGGTGTGCCACGAGTCACGACGTTCTTCGGTCCAGTCACATGAGCTTCTCCGTGGTGACCACCACGGTGAAGGGACTGGGACTAGACTGGCTTGGAATGGACGACCCACCCGTTGAAGTGTTGGTCTTTTGAGTAAACACCTACACCTGGATGCTGTAAACAGTTCTTCATTTCCAAGAGTTGCGGCTTGAGGTATCATGATTGGATATGACAGGCCTCCTGATCAGTTTTGTGGATTCACCAAAATCGTGGGCTGTGTCTTTGAACGAAAACCTTTGGAATGCAGGCGAATGCCAAAGAAGAGGAATCTACCAGCGACAAAGGAACCTCGGGTCACACCGAGTCAGGAGCTTTTACTTGAAAAAAAATTGATGTGCACCTTGTTCCAAAAACTGGCAATGGATCCAATGGCAGATTCCACGTGGCACTACAAGCTGTCATGGATTCCCCGCATCATGGGGAGACCGACTCCCTGAGATCATCAGGCTTGCGTACGTGGCATGGCCGCATATAAGGATGTTCATTTTGCGAATGCCAAACAGGTGGTGAACTCCCCAAACCTATGATTATTTCAGGGAGTGTAGATCTGTTGCCCCCTACCTCTCCCGTGCTGCTTTCCCGTTCCAGGTGAAGAACTGGCAAAGCAACAAACACTGGGAACAAGCCCTGCGCGTCGAACTGTCCGGAACACAGCTGCTCCCTCCACTGCACCACGCGGGATCGGTCGGAAAATGCCTACATTCGGTTCGCGTCCCATCGCGAACCGTTCGTCGTAAGGCCAGGAGCCCCGATCGTAGCGTCCGATCGCTCCGTTCGTAGTCATGCTCTTTGTGACGTTCGTAGCTTCCTCCGTTCGTAGTAAGGCCAGGAGCGCCCCTAATAGCTTCTTGCTCCGTTCGTAGCAATGCCCTCTATACCAATCGGTCAGCAACACCCATTTGCTTAATTTGGTCAGGCATGGGGTTCATTTATGCTCCACATTGGACACACATATGTTTAAACCCAGGACTGGTGTCTGTTGCACATGCATGTTCCCACGATTTCCCACACACGGCACATGCGCAGGGACTAAGTTCTGTAATCTGCTGGAGGAGGGGTCTTTTCCTGCACTCGAGGCCATCGCTCTTAGGTTGGAGGCCATCGCTGGAGGTGTCCTTTTCCTGCACTGTTTGCAAAAGCCAAGAAAGATTCCCGGCACCTCTGCCGGCTCCCCGGCTTCGAGACGAAACCTGCTCCCGCCTCGAACTGGCCTCTGAAGCCGACAGGTGCCGACAGCATGGCGCCAACACCAAAGGACAAAGTCTTTCTTCAACCCTAACCAGGGCCACTGACCTGCATCCAAACAGTCCTTTCTTTCGAATCTGTGAATACAAAAGAAACTACTCCCTGGCACTTTTGAAAATATATGTAATGTCTGAGGTTTCCAGATTCCAGATCAACTTCACTTCTAAACTTGAAGTCTGCCTGTACACCTCGTTTGGGTTACCTGGTCTGTCGTCTCCTTGGTCGTTCGTCTGCCCAAAAAATCACTTCGGCTTGAACCATGGTGAGTCAGACAGGAGTCGTTTTACGCACCTTGGATGTGTCCATCACCAACGCACCAAACTCCCCAGACTCAGATAGTCCAAATGAGTCCGATTCACTATAAAGTTATGTATATATTATATATAACTAGATATATAACTATATAACTAGACTATGTATATATATATATATCATATGTGGAACACTTGCTGACATCCTGACACAACTCAGCCGGCGCCAGATCTTCTGAAAATTGTGAGAGCCACACTGGCTTTGTGAGCCTCTCCAAGCATTTCATGTATATCAAGGGAAATTCCTAGACTCGGGTCACCTAAAGACCATCTTTTTGATGGTCTTGGACTTCCAAGGGAAAGCGTTGAACCGCCTCGTGGTCGGCTGCGATGCTACCCCGGTCAACTCGCCAGTGGTGCGAACAGTGGGAAAATGTGGTTTCAGAATAGATGCAATGCTGTCGAGGTGCTTTTGCCAGTGGTCCCGACGACAGGGAGGCAAAATGAGTTTAGTATGCCCCCCCTTTATCAAACATCTGTGGAAAAGTCAAGCTTGCAATGCTTCAGGAGTGTCCATTCAGAGTGCATATGGTCAATTTGCAATAAATCGTTTGGATGAGCCCATACCCAAAAATGAACTGAAGTCATTGGGAAGTTCCCGAACTGCTTTCCAGACCAACATACATTCTCTTTACAGGCACGAACGTAGGTTGGAGGCCATCGCTTGTAGGTTGGCTCGCACAACAGAAGGTCGAAGGAGTGGGCGAGTCGGTCAACGACCCACCAAACCCACGGAAATCGGTCCTGAAGAAGTCCAGCGTTCGGTCGTTCGGGCTGTTTTTGAGTGGGTGTGGGTCGGTGTGGGTCGGTGTGGGTGAGGCTTGGGCTAGAGGATGATGGTCCGAAGATGTACATCTACTCATCATGCCAGGTTTTATATAGATGGTTTTAGCACGGTTTATACCACCCTCCGCACCCTCCATCGGACCTGAAGGGCGCTGGTATCTTTGACTTGCAGTGCAGCTGGCTGGAGTGTTCTGGATGAGTGCAATTTGGTGTTACGTCCTGCTCATCCCCACGCCATCTGTTATAATCCTTCCAATCCTTCCTCCAGTGCCAGCAAGCCTGTATTAATGCGGCTGCGCAAAAGAAGTGAAACGATCTCTGTCACTCATGAACTACAGGCAGCCAATCTCACGAAAAAAGGATGCCATCTGCAGCAAAATCCACTACTGTCAAACTGGTCATAGAGTCGGAAACGGTTAAACCAGTCACAGCACAGGCTCCGATTCCAATTTGCGATAGACAATCCGGAAGTATCAAAGTGGTCAAAGAATTGCAGCCATAGAAGGCCTGGTGTCCAATCTCAATCACAGATTCCGGAATTGTCAAAATGGTCAAAGAACTGCAGCCACGAAAGGCTCCGTGTCCAATCTGAGTTACAGATTCCGGAATTTTCAAACTGGTCAAAGAACTGCAGTCGCGGAAGGCTCCGTGTCCAATCTGAGTTACAGAGTCGGGAATTGTCAAACTCGTCAAAGAATCGCAGCCACGGAAGGCTGCATGTCCAATTTGTGTTACAGAGTCCTGAATTGTCAATCTGGCCAAAGATCTGCAGTCAGAAAAGGCTCCATGTCCGATCTCGGTCACGGAGTCTGGAATGCTCAAACTGGTCAGAGAACTGCAGCCACAAAAAGCCCTCTCTCCAATCCGAGTCAGAGAATCCGGAATTGACAAGTGGGTCAAAGAGCTGCAGCCACAGAAGGCTTTGTTGAGGATCTGAGTTACAGAGTCCGGAATTGTTAAACTGGTCAAAGAATTGCACCCATAGAAGGCCAGTTCCCCAATCTTAGTTACGGAGCCTGGAATTGTCAACTGTGTCAAAGAATGACATTCGTAGAATGCCCTGTCTTCAATCTCGGTCGCAGAGTCCCAAATTGTA